AGAGAGAGAGAGAGAGAGAGAGAGAGAGAGAGAGAGAGAGAGAGAGAGAAAGCTACATATTCTTTCAGGAACCACATACAAATGTCCCCATAATGTCCCCATACACATCTGCAATGCCAGACACCACCACATACAAATGTCCCAAAGAGAGAGAGAGAGAGAGAGAGAGAGAGAGAGAGAGAGAGAGACATTCGTTAAACTTTTTCCCCTATGGCAGATATATCCGCTACATATTATTGTCTGTGGCGCATACATCCAGTACATATTCTTACCTGTGGCGGATAAATCCGCTACGTATTCTTTCGAAATGAGATGTCCGAGCCTGTGGCGGGTACATCCGCTACATATGTCTAGTATATATACTCGTCTGTGGCGGATACATCTGCTACATATTCTTTCAAAATGAGAACAGGACAGAGAGATGTGTTCGAGTAATGCAGAACTTAGGAACCACATACAAATGTCCCCATACACATCTGCAATGATTGACACCTCAACTGGAAACACATCTAATTGTTGGAATGTTAAAATCCGAAAAGCGAAAAGGCGGGCGGAATACCCGTGCGAGAAAGGAAGCGAACATCAACATGACTATCCCACAAAGCGACTCATCAACCTCGCAAATAAAGTGACACCTAATATCTGAAGAAGAGCAATATACAAGAATTCTCAAATAGCACAAGGGATTTCTGATCCTATAGGCCGGATACATCCGCTAAACTATCCCAACCCGGAGAACTGGCCACACGTACTCAAACTTGTCTCTGATCCTATAGGCCGGATACATCCGCTACACAATCCCAACCTAGAGAACTGGCCACACGTACTCAAACTTGTCGTAAACTTTCAAGGCTACTTTTGAAAGAATTCTCAAATAGCACAAGGGATTTATGATCCTACAGGCCAGATACATCCGTTGCGCAATCCCGACCGGGAGAACTCACAACACGTACTCAAACTTGTCCTACAGAACATATGATCGATGCCATTTTGCATCTGATTGCTGGAATGTCAAAATTCGAAAAGCGGAAAGGCGGGCGCAAACCCCGAGCAAGAAAGGAAGCGAACATCAACATGAACACCCCACAACTCGAGCCATCAACCTGCCTAGGCACTCCCTTAACAAGCACTTCAAATCTCATGTTATTGTACCTTTTGGGCAACCTTCGCGCGGTTGCCTCTTTATTCAGATAGTCCACAACCGCCTTAAATGCACTGGAAGCGAATGACGCGTCACAGACCGGGTTATAAAACGAATCGACGAAGTTTACAACGTGCTTTCTGAAATCTACTGAAAGAAAGACCCAGTGCTCGTAATCCTTGTGAATGGGGATGAGCAATATATTGTAATCGAAAAGAAGGACATTTTGCTTCCACCTGCTGACCCCTCTAAAACCTTGCGACTGCAACTTCGTAAAGAAAAAGGAAAGGAAGTTATACACTTTGAACGAAGATCAACGACAGTCCCTGGTGAGGAGAGCTAAGTAAAAATTCATGACCTTGTCGTTAAGCTCGCCGCCTCTATCCAATAATGTCACCATGTCTTTTACCCTAACCACCAAATTGTCGGCCGGGAGCCGAGCAATAACCATCACCGACGGTAGGCAACACCGAACAAGTTTGTCCATCAACTTGGACGACTCTTCCTGATTTCCTCCAACGCCTGACATGCATACGTCTGCTGCACAGTCCAACCAAGCAACACACATGAGCATGAGAAGGATGACACCCTAACTGTCCGAGCCGTTCGGTTCTTTGCTTTGCGCTTTAAAATTATTATAAATTTGAACCCCTCTACTTGTACTCCTAAAAAAGTATGGCGCGGGTCCAGGAAGCGAAGAAATGGCGCATTTCTTGCAAACTTTGATGTGCAACTTCGCAAATGTGTCAGAACTCATACTCGTCGCTTCTACAATATGAAAATCCCTTCTCGACAATCGCGGCATATTCGTCTTTGTGAGAGACTCTTCCGAGTTTCTCCGCACGACACATGAAGGAGATGGCCGACCTGTACAACAAGTAAAGAAAAGGAGATTATGAATATAACATATCGCCGCATTGCACAACCAACGGGCAACCAGCAATTACCCACATATCCAAACATATCGCCGCTCGCTACTTCGAAAAGTAAACTCCAAATGCTCATACAGTAGTGGGACCCAAACACTCATGTCAGTGAATTAACTCCAAGTGCTCATACACTACGTTGACCCAAATGTGAGCAACACATGTCAAATGTGAGCAACACATGTCACTGCTTACGAGCCACAGCTTCGTGCCGGAGATGTTCCTTAGTATTCTTCTCGTCTAAAACTTTCGGTTGTGGCAAGTCTTTTCTCAGACATGTCGCGCTTAGACCCAGCACGAACTCTTCAGTCTGCGCCGATGCCATAATGCGATCTAACTGGGATGGAAGTCGGGACAAGTCCTTAATGTCCGCGTCGATGAGGCAAACAGCTTTTTCCGGAGCATCGGGGCACAACTCTACAGGATGACCAGTTGTTCCACCACTCCCACGGATGGCAAGAACTTCATCTTGAGGAGTCAATAATTGTGAAGAGGGAGAGATGACAACGGGGGAATCGTGGAAGAGTGTCTTGACAAGATCATCTTCGATCGGACAACGGAAAGACAACTCTTCCACTTCGAGCATGGTGACGTCCTCGTCCTCATTCCAGTCGCCCGACACGACTGTGGCCATATGGATTTTGGAGGGCCGTATGTCAGGAAACCCTGAACATAACTGCGAGACATACCCGCCCTGGGAACCGCCACAACGTGTATCAGGTGGTGGAGTCACCTGGTCTTCCACACCCAGGGCAAGGGTGTTATCCGTGCTACGTGGCTGCTGCGCCGAGGAGCGGATAGATCCGCCGCCGGTGGAAACGGGTTTGACAACTAACTCCTCCTTCTGCTCTGCACTGACACGAAGCCCTGGACAGCGGATACATCCGGCGCCGGCGAAAGAACCGCCATCACGCAGCCCACGCCCCTTGTATGACCCGCGTGCATGTTCCTCCGGTGCATTTGTAAGAGGGACATGCCCGCCCTCGGAACCATCGTAATGTGTGTCAAAGGGTGCAGTCTCCTGGTCTTCCATACCCAGAGGAAGGGTGTCGTCGGTGCTGCTGAGTTGATGCGTCGAGGAGCGGATATATCCGCCACCGGCCGAAATGCTTCCGACAACTAAGTCCTCATTCTGCTCCACACTGACGCGCCCGCTTGGATGGTGGATACATCCGGGGCTGGCAGAAAAAAGGCCAACCCGCCCCTTATCCACCTCAGACCCAGTTGCACAAGGACTCGCAAGAGAATCTGTCCTTCTGGGGGAGTATGACCCGCCTACAGTTTTCTCCACCACATTCTCTCCG